TCAAAGGAAATACTTGCGATTTAGGTTTTTCTGCGACTTGGGGGCTGAGCTTGATACTAATCAGCCAATGATTGAACGAGTTTTCGAAAAGCTCCGCCCCTCAGATTGAAAGAAAGAACAAAATCCAGACAAACTTCAAAACAAAGAGGTCGCGATGCAACGATTTCCGCTGTAACGACATGTTTTTGAATTTATAACATTTGGTTATTGTTCACTGCCGGTATTAATTGTGTTGATTTAGAGTTTTTCCACAGTGTCCATACTATCAAATCTATACATTACATGACAGCTGTATGATCACTTGAGAGTCACTTATGATATACAATCGCTAACCATTGAAAAGTACTAACCATTCGCCAAAATGCTAGAGAGATCGCACTTAAATAAACCGTGCAACTGTACAATTAAATCTAAGTAGTACTAATTTGTACTAAAAGTGGACTGGAAGCAAGATGTTATTGAATTCTTCATTTGTATCAATTCAATTTAATTTTCGTACCACATGCACGATTTACTAAATACAACTAAATAGCACTATTTAGTTTGTACAGTTGGACGGTTTAAGAGCGATCACTCTTATTTTAGTATTTGCACTTTGTCAGTCAGGTCACATTTATCTATGAAAACTACAAAACTAAACTTATCAATGTTCTAAAAATGTTCATCCAACAATTCTATTACACTGTGATGGTTACATCGTCTCCAATTAGAAAGAAGGCTGCCCAGTATTTTGGTTCCTTGTATCTCTCTATTTCTCTCATCTCCTTCATTGCTTGCTGAAGACTTTTACTCGCACTCTCTCCATTCTTGAGATGCGAATAGAATTTCAGCATGAAGAATTTTGTTGCTCTGTCGTCAATGGCCCATAATGACGCTACAACAGCACGAGCTCCTGCAGCAAGAAAGGCTCGAGCAATTCCAACCACTCCCTCAGACCTTATTTCACCTTTACCGCTGTGACAACAGCTCAGCACAACCAGTTGAGCACGAATTCCGCTCTCCTGTGCTTCATTCATGGTCAAGATGTTGTACTTGTCATCCGCTGGACACGAATTCATCGGAGGAGTAGAAGGAGCAAGTAAGATCTGGCCATTTTTATCTCTGCCGTGTGCAGCAAAGTGGATCACGGACACGTCTCGCTTTAGTTTCTCCAAAATGACTTCTTTTGTTGCTTGTTTTCCTATCAATGGTTGAACACCGAGAAGGTTACCAATCTCGACGGCTTCTTTCTCTGCACCAGGTAAATCCCCTGTAGGGTTTCCAATGATCAGCGCCCCTGACTTGAATGAACAAAGCTTTAATGAACGTCAATTATTATATTTTATTATATTTTTTTCTGGTCTAGAAATTGTGAAAGGAATTGCACGATTGCGATGCCAAATAAAAAGAAAAGAAATTCAAGACGTCATTTTGTAGATCGTTACTGGAGCTCAGCTCTGTGGTAGCTCCCCGCCTTTGAGGTAAATTTTGTAAAATAAGATAAAGATAAATAAACATTATAATATTAAAGCGAAGCGGTCAGGCGTCACAATAAAAACACTAATAGATGTATAGTAAATAGGCTTCTACGGTGGACAAAAGAAAGTCTAGTCAAGACTTAGTCAATTAAAATAACAAATCCTCAAACGTCCTGTTGAACGATATGTACATGAAAAATCAACAACCGTCTTGTAGCTGAATCAAGGAAATGTTTCCAACGCGGGGTGGTATACGAAATCACATGTGCAAAATGTGGATCCACATACATCGGAAGTACTATATATCAGACATTTACATGAGAGGAACAAGGAACATCTCACATCCACCGAATCATCAGTCTTATCTCATTTAAACAACTGCTGGGAAACTAAAGAAATAGAAGAAATCAAAAAATGAATACTGATCGCACGTGAGAATAACAGCAGTTTTGAAATAGCTACAAATAGATTATATTTCGTTGGGATTCTTGAATGAATTCACTAATGAAGTAGATTATAGGGCTACTTGGACGAAAATTTCGAAATATTAGAAAAGACTTGGAAATCAAATAGAACTATCCATATGGGTGTAATAATTATGAAGCAACAGATTTCAAGAAAATATTCATGCAAATCCTTAATAATTTGGGCAAAAAAAGATGGAGTAGATGACGTCATCTACTCAATCCCTTTGTTCTTCCATCTTTTGAATCAAAATTTCTCTGATGTGGGATAATTCCAAGACAAATATTTTCACGCAATTGTTTTTAATAGATATAAATGAGTCATATATTTGTATTGCTTGAAGTTTTGAAATAAGTCCATTTTCATGCAAGTAGCACTTTATATGATTGACGTGTATTTTCAATGCTTAAACGTGTAAAGATAAAAGCCTACCTTAGCATAATTTTCGTCTGAGGATTCTTGTAGAATTTTCAGCGTCGTCAGAGAAGGAGCCAAGCGAATGAGCTTAGTCTCCGACAAATACTTGCCGGTCACTGGGTCTTGAAGAGCAGCAAATGGCACCATGAACAGAGGACCGTCAGGGATGATGATCACCTCGTCGTGGGTCAGCTGGTTAATTACTGGAGAGAGAAGTCTACGGGAAAGCACTTCGAGAGGCTCGATATCATCTTCATCGTCCGCGGAAGCGCACCATCTGTCAACCTGTCGAAAAACTGTGAGGGCAGTTTCTCTGAGATTTGAAGACTTTGTAGCG